CCTTCTCAACTAGAACAAATCCAAATTCACCAAACTTCAATAAAAACTTTAAAAAATCAACATCAAACAATGACAACTTACAATCTCATTGCGTCCTTCTCCTTCACTGTCACCGTTCTCCGCACTCTCTGACCTTGAGGGTGACTTAACCTCTGTAGCCTTGATAAGCATGGTTCGTAACTCACTGTTTTGAGTAGTCAAAGCCTCCATCATATCCTGAAAGGTATAAGAGAATGACAAATGTTTGATGAGAACAGTTTGAGATGATCTGCTGCTTTACATAGCAAGTCATGACGACATTAGCAACACTATCCTATGGCATAATTAGCACAATAAAAACACACAGAAGATGTGAAAGTGTAAAACTTAACTAGAGTGCCCACTTTTCATGATAATGATTATAACTGACAGCATTATAATGTGCAACTTTTAACTTGAAAGCTGGCTTCAAATATACTGCACTTAAAAAATACCCAGACAGATCTTATGATTTACAGGACAGAGCTTTCACTGTCTCTGACAGTGAGCAAAGTTTGTGACCAACCATAGAACACGCATAAAAGTAAGACTAATCACAAGATACGACCTGATCATGAAAAAAACAATGAAAAGAGCCAAGACCGTACATTTCAGTCGCTGAACATACATTTGTTTCTCTGAAAGAGATCTCCGTTTAAGTTTGATGATATTGTGGCGTGCACCCAGATTTACCTGTGCGGCTGTGAGTTCATTCTGTAGCGTGTCCACCAGCTGTGCCTGAGCCTCGTAGTGTCGGAGTCTGTCCGTCATCTGGTCCTGCTGGTACATCTCCTTCTCCACAAACTGCTGGGCAGACTTGAGCTCTGTCACCTCCCCTTCCTTGGAGGACAGCTGAGGGAGAGAGTTGCACACTACAGGTTGATTTGTGGGAGGAAATATGCAAGCAACAACATTCTTATAATATTTAAATTGTGGTGGTGGGGGTATAGAACATTAACTATCTATAAAAACACTTTAGCACTTGGAAGTCGAGGGGAAAAAACAGGCCCATCTGGGCAAAATTCTAAACAACACTCAGCATAAAACTGAAGAAATTCAGGTCAGACAAATATCCAAGACCATTGATCGGCCAGTTATACTGAGAACACACTTCTGTTAGAAATAACTCACAACTTCTCGTATCTGTGTGAGTTCATCCTCCTGTTGTGCCAGTTTGGCTGATAGTTCGTTGACCGAGTGTTGCTCTGTCTGTAGTCTGGTCACCAGCTCCATGTTATCTGTGCTCTGGTGGAAAGAATGAGCAAAAAGGTAAGAAAATACGTGAATGAAAAGGTGGAGGGGAGTGGTTGAGCTAGGGGTAAGACATGAACACAGACAATTTGAGAGGCTATTGCTTGAGCAAAAAGAAACACACTGACATAGTTATAACATTATGTGGGGTAGGGAAAATAAGCAATACAGATGAATAGATAGAAACAAAAGTGAAAAAGAAGTAAAACCAACAACACAGAGGTTTTAAATGATCAGATAAGGAGGATACAAAAGAGAAAATGAAGGCAGAAGAAAAGAAAAAAAAGGCAAAGGACCAAAAAAAAAAACCCCAACCCCTCAGAACCTCACAATCTTGACCAATCACTGACCGACAATATGACACAGAAAATGACCATCCACCAGCAATCTTGACCTATCCCTCTCCCAAGTCTACCACGGGATATGACGAGCCGACTCACAATCTTGACAAATCCCTGTTGCAGCTCCTCCAGCTGTGTCTTGAGCTCCTTGTTCTGCGACAGAGCTCGGCTCAGGGCCGTTCGGTCACTCTGGATACTCTCCAACAGCTGGACCTTGTCCCCTGCCTGCTCGCCCATCTCCTCCACTGACCGCTCCAGGTTTGACACTCGCTCCTCCTTCTCCTCCAGCAGTCTGTGATTAGCAAAAATTGTAATGGCCTTTATTAGATTTGTGAAGAAGCACAGAAACATTTATTTAAGGCAAGGAAAAAGTAAGTTTAGTTTTAGTAAGAGTTTTACAGCACTTGCAACACAATAAGGTCATATAAGTGCCGAAGATAAGAAGTGTTACGAGAGAGTAACAAACACAAAAAAGAAGGAGGGCAGATAGAGAAGATAATTTTTTTATTGGAAAGAAGGAGCAAACCATACCAGAGCACCCGCAAACCACCCACAGGAAAAAATAAGACGGACAGAAACAAGACAAAGAAAAAAGGCAGGACCTAACAGTGGTGTCCTCCAACATCCCCCACTGTAATGGACTTATACCGACATCAACACAATTTAGAAAATCAAGTTTGAGTCAAGAGAGGCACAGACACATTAACAAGTTATTTAATGGAAGGAAAAAGTCAGACAAAGAGAACAAAAAGAAAGACTCAACAGTGGCAACTTCCAACAACCCCCCTCACACTAGTCAGAAGGCAGGCCGAGTCAACAACACTTCTCGAGCCGACTTAAGCTGTGTGGTGAACACCCCAGCAGAGAGACACGACACAGAAGACACTGGACAGCAGCAGATAACCAAGTAAAGATGAACAGAGGTGCCACAACAGGCTACGAGAGAAAATCCCTTTAACTTTTCAGGCCCCTTCGAAATGTGTGCACAGGGACTAAAAATCTACATCATGTCGTCTAATACATCAAGCGTCAAAAACTATTTTTACATGTATTTTTCTTCTTAAAAAAATAATTGCACTTCTCCCCCCAAGGAGCACTTCTCCCCTCAAAGGACACTCACCTGCCCAGTTGCATGTTGTCTCTCACTTGTGTCTCCAAGGCCACAGTAGCTTCCCGAACGTCAATGCGAAGACGCTCCAGTTCTGCTGTTACCTCCGGGGGGATGCTGGGGGCTTGTGGGGCAGGGGCCGCAACCTCAGGTCGAGGGGCGTTCTCAACATCCTCTGTACGTAAGAAGTGAAAGAAGCAAAATAAATTATATACAGGAATATATGTGAGGCATCATGGTGAAACTAGGCACTCGTGAAAATAGTGAAATCAAAGAAATTGGCATTTTTCTGACTGTGGGACAATTTTTTTAACTAATTTTCTTTTTTTTTTTTTTGGCTCAACACCGTTTATATCCATTCACAAACACATTGTGTGTGGATTTTACCGAAAAACATCAATTAAAGGCGCAAAAGATGTTGACTTTCAGTTTTCAAGGACTCTCAAGCTACCGAAATGACAATACTTTGGCTAATTTCACCTCTGAAACCAGGTGACCCTGACCTCCTTCAATCGCAAATATATCGACTTCTATGCATCACACATGGATATGTCTTTCACCAAATAGAAGGCAAATGAAAAAGCTTTAACCATATATATATAACCCCACATGCCAAAAAATTGACAAGCGCCTGATTCCACCATGTCGCGACACTTATTACTCGACATTAAAATATTTGTGACAGTTAACTACGAAAAAAAGGAAACATACTACGAACAGTAAAAGAACAAAAAAAAAAAAAAATTGAGCTGTTCGCTTACACCCCGTATCGATTTAAATAAAACAAAAAACTAGAAAAAAAAAAAAGATAAGACTGTCGGTACTGAGTTTCAAATGTTTGGTAATAACATGCAATTGTAAAATAAAGGAATTCACAATCCTGCTTCTCTGCTGAATTGCTATGTGGGGTGAAATACCACCAGACAGCCAGCAATTCTAACAATTTGTCAAAAACGAACATGACTGCACACAGCAGGACGACAGAATTTTAAGACCTTCTAATTCAGTCAAAAACCATTTAACAGTACACAGCAGTACATTGTCCAGTGATAACAAGTGACAGTCATAAATTATCCAGAACAAAGCAGCATCACTCACCTAGCTTCCTCTGCAACTCGTGCACAGCGCCCTCTAGCTCATGCTGCTTGTTCAGCAGTTGCTCTCTCTCCTCAGTGAGAACTGTTACCTGAGAAGGTAGGGACATCAGCAGTGAATTAGAGCCAAGGTTGGTTTCTTTTGTTAAAACATTTTTTAAAATAAACACATGCACATCCACACAGAAGTGGTCATTACGCGTTCAGGAAAAGCAAATTCAACAAAATATAAAACAGAGGAACAGTAAAGAAATAGATCTCCCAGTGGTACCAAAACAACCATCCATGAGCTTTGTCTGTCTTTTAGTTCAAGAGAAGAGCACGGATGAAGCAAAGTTCATTACAAATGATCCATGTGAAAGGTATGCTGAAGGTTTAATGGCTCTTTCAACACTGTAAAGTTATGTCAGAGGTGGTACATCTGATGCAACTTCAGTATCATATGGCACAGAATCAAATGGTGGAAACCCTTGAAAACACCCCCAAACAGTCGAAGTTCAGGAAAATTAATCAAACATAGCAGTTCAGCATGATAACAACTGAGCTGACAGGGTGCCCTGACTGAAACATAAACAAAAATGAGAAGCTCATGTAGACGTAAGAGTGCTTCATGCTGACGAAAGTGAGTACTTTTGTTTGTTTTAGTGGAGGTTTTACGGCGCTCGGAACTGCATAAGGTCATATGAGCGCCAAGGGGTGGATGTCAACAGAGTAGACTTTACAGGGAATCAGACTAACTCAGCTCACCTCTCTAGCTTCAACAGCACAAAGTCTGTTTCGACTTTCAAGGCATCCCGGAAATAGCGGGTCATAAGAGTGTGACAAACATACAAAAGAAGTAGAGGAAAAATTATGATAGTTTTAAGAATTAGGAAAGAAAAAGCAGCAGTTCCCTGTTGCAGTTCAGGCACAGTTGAACATGACATAGATGAATCAGCCCATTTACAATTACAATTCTACTGCATATAAGAACTCGAGATGTTAATGTTCCCCTCTTAGGGAATGGCCTAAAGACACTTCAGTCAGTAGCACTGCCCCGGAGGGTTAGCAAGCACTTTGAGTTTGAGTAAAGAAAAGCACATTGACACAATAATGTTCACGAAGGGCAGGGAAGGAGCAAGACAGACAGAAACAACAAAGGGAAAGAGAAGAAGTAGGACCTACCAGTGGCGCCCTCCAACCACCATATCTTGAGTACACATAAGAGCATATATTGTGCTGATGTGAGTCTGTGTATTGTGGTCACATAAAAGAGTATATGTTGTTTAGGTAAACTGAGTACCTTTTAGAAACAACAGAGTCCTTCAGGTAGATACGAAAGGTATAAAGCCTTGAGGAGTCAAAAGTGTATCCCTTTATTGGACCTACATGAGAACCTCGAGTACATATAAACAGAAATGAGTACCTGCTGTGTGACCTGCTGCGACTGGTGCCGGAGCTGCTCTGTGTATTGCTGGTACTGGTCTGTCACTTGGTCACGCTCCGACTGGAGCTTCTGCGTCAATTCCTCATGCTGGATGGGGCGATGACGGGAAGAACAAAATGTGGTCCGATAATAAGACAATAACAACAAAAATAACATCAGGAATGACATTATGGGAGATAAACTTAAGTGGCCTGTTCTTCCGCCAGCTGACAAAACGTCTTTTGTGCGTGCATGCATTCACAGTAGTTTCAAGAAAAAAGGAATTTTGTCACCGTAACCATTAAAGAAAAGGTGTTCTTCCAAAATTTGTATTCTAATTTATTAAAAAACTAGTCACAGTTTAACTTTGATATTTTCAGAAAAGTGGGGTGATCAGGCTATTGGTGAAGCAAATTAAAAAATTTGGTGCCAAAAATGAAAAAAAAAAAGGCGTTTTATCAGCTTAGGGCAATGAACAATAATCAGCGTTGATTAGGTTCCCAAACTTCAGCTCACTTAATCCAAACCCCACACCTGTTGTGGGAGTGCCTCAGGTATCTTAGATCCAAATCACACAGCCCCTACAGATGGACATTATTGATTTGTTATCCTATATATTTTCCTTACACTAGTTTATGAATTTACCACATTGCCTTTTTCTTTTTTCTCTCCAGGATCAGGCCAACAACCTATAGGTCTTTAAGTTATTGCATAGACAGTGTTACTTACTTCCCACAACATTCAGAAATAAAAATATGTAGTGATAAATGAAATTTGGTCTTAGCATCTAGCTTAAAATAATCTTATCTGACTACTCTGAAAATCTTATTCGTAAAGATACATAAAAAAGCCAGTCTTAAGAGGTTGTGCTTGATAATGCAAACTTGAAATCATATTTCAGCTTTATCTTTCTCTTTTCTCTCCCTTTGTCTCCCTCCATTTCTCTCTTCCACATGCTTCTAGCTCTCTCTTCTGCTCCTTCTCAACACATTATTTTATTCACCTTAAAAGACCTTAACACCTGACTGTTTCTCTCTATCATCGTCAATCACACATTTGTCCACTCACCTGATGTAATCTCGCCAGCAGACTGTCCCTCTCCTTCTGGAGAGAGTTGAGAATCTCCACACTGCCCTGGGTGTTCTCACTCTCACTCGAAAGCTGGGGAGGGAGAAAAAAACATTCCCAGCTGTTCAAATGTACTAAGACCAAAATTTAGACTTTGTTAAAAATTGTACTTTTCTTAATCTTTGGTATTGTTTGCATGAGTTCAAGAAATATGTTGACGAAATTCAACTTCTAATTTTTTTTAAAAAGCAAGAGATGATACACAAATTAGGTACAATTGTTAAAAGAAGAAAACAGTTTTTTCTTCCTCCTTAAAATTTTTTTTTCTTTTATAGACATTTGAACAGCTTACTGACAATTTGTAAGTCATCCTATAGTAGTTCACTCAGAGCCAGCACAGTAACTGTCCTATTTAGCCAGGAACAGATTCCAGTAATGGAATCATAGAACCCCCCCCCGCTTAGTCTAAAGAGACATCTAGAACTTGTATTGCTCACAAAGACACAAATTGGTATCATAAAAGCATTAAAAGGCAATCCGTAATTCAACACACAAAAAGTTTGGGGGGGAAAAGAATCAAAGTATTCACATATTTAACTTTTAATACTAGGGTCCTACTATTAGCCCAAAGTGTTTCTTCCTGTGTAATTTAGGGGCTCCACACCTCGTACATGAAAGACGTAAGTACAAAAACCATATGAGGAAGACATTTTATAAAATATCTCTATCTTTGTGCAGGAATGTACCCCAACACAGCACAGGCTGGCCCTAACAGGCAGAATGAAAACAGCCTAGCACACTTAATGACCGAAATTGTTTTTTTTAAGGGTTTTGCAGTAAAGAGAAGCACTTAGACACAATAAAGTTTGGTTGGTTAAAGCCGGTAAAAAGAAAAAAAAAACCGAAAAAATACAGCAGAGGGAAACAACAGAAAAGAAGTAGGACCTACCAATTGTGTCTTCCAACCACTTACTGATACAGGTGTAAAACACGTCCAGTCAGACAATGTACAACAATAGACTTACCTGCTGGGCGTAGAGCTCTGCCATCTCCAACTTCTTCTGTAGCTCCGTCACTTCGTCTGAGGACGACTTGCACTCAGTGACCTTGGCCTGTAGCTGCTCCGACAGCTCAGATACTTGCTGCTTCAGCTCCTCATTCTGTTTACTGAAACAACACAAAGCAATTGCCAGGATCAACCCAACCAAAGTGAAGTAATGTGGATTCTTATTCTTCAATGACCTGCTGATTTATCAAGAATCAGGATTTGGCACACATCATGACGCGTTGCTTGGTCTACCTGCTACACTTCAGTCAATTCAGTGTCACAGATTAAATCAATCTCAATTCAACATCCAACAGTTTTAAAAAGTAAGAAACTATAGTGTCCGATGAGTACATCATTTCATGCATGTTGAGTCTCCTAAAGCATGTCAGATATTCTCTGTAATATACAACCTACCAAAATGGGTTGATGGAATTCAAAGTATATACACCCCCATACTTTAAAAAATTAGTGATATAAAGATTTGAGTAAAATGAGAACACCACCACTGCACCAAGACCTTTAAAAATAATTTTGTTGCTTTATCCTTACATTGGAGTTGAAAACAAACTTTCATACAGACAAATGTGCAATACTGTAAAATGCCATAACAAAGCCATAGAGATGGAACTGTCATAACCAACATCTCAGCCATTCGGTTACAGAACAAGATGTACATATGTCAGATGTGCTGACAAAATGAGTTACTCCTTGCAATCCCTAAATGGAGATATCAGCCTAAAATTGACATAAGGGTCGCATTTGTTTACTTTCAACTAGCGCATTTTTTTTTTTTCAAGTTTAACGTGTCTCTTGTCATTTCATACTAATTAATGATATGAATTCCATCAATAAATTATTTGACGCAGCAGTAACTCATTTCAACGGTACGCTTCACAAAAATATATGTAAACACTAAAGTAACTACAGCTTCAAGAGAATACCACAGGTAGAAGGATTCCTGTACTTACCTAGACTTGTACGATTCTAACTTTAGCCTGTCTAATTCTTTAGCATTCTCAGCAGCATTCTGAAATGAAAAGAAGGAAAATTGTATAAAAATTAAGATTTTCAAAATGTAATGCGGAATTTCATAACATAAATCAGAAATTGTGAAAATAATTTCTTGACATTTCTTTAAACTTGCTGACATGATATGATCCTGAAGATGATGGGGACTGTAGATACGTTTCAAAGTCTTATCAAGAATGTTTAAGAGTTGCTTGGGGGTGAATGTGGTACAGCTTATCTCCAATGATAGTGAAAGTTAAAAAAAAATCACACTTATGACTTTCCTTCCTCTACAAACAAAAAGATGTGGTCATAAGCATCAATATTAAAAACAACACCAAATCAGTATAAACGGTACAACAGTCCATGGAAAAAAAAAAGGTGCACACAAAAAATTGCTCTCAAACACTTCCTATCATAACCTTAACCCCATCTATTCCTCACTAGTGAAACTCAATTTCAACCCAATAACGAAATACTCGAAATGAATCTGCTTGCAAAATTCCTTTAAGAAGTGGAGTAAAAAAAAAAAAAGTTAATTTTCTCGACATAAATTTTTTCAGCAAGTTGGGCGAGTCTGCTGTTCATTCACCTTTCTCACAACTAGCTCTTGCTTTGTTTTCCAACAATCACCTCCTTGAAAACAACAGAAGTTCCAACAGAACCTAATACACTCTGCCTACTTCTGACAATGTCATTGAATTTTAATTTATCTTTTACTACTGCATGAGACATGGCAAAAACAGACTGACAGTAAGACAGAGAGAGAGAGAAAGAGAGAGAGAGAGAGAGAGAGAGAGAGAGAGAGAGAGAGAGAGAGAGAGAGAGACAGAGACAGAGAGAGACAGAGAGAGACAGAGAGAGAAAGAGAGAGAGAACAAAGACAGAAAAGGAAAGAACAAGACAGAAAGATTTACAGGGAGGTGGGGAGGGGGGGGGGAGCGGAGGAGATAGGAATATCCTGTGTATGTTTTGTACAAAAGATAGTGAAAACATATTGTCAGTCTCCTTTGGTGTCCCAATAGATTTTAGCATACCTTATACAAAGAGAGAAAAAAAGGTACCAATTATTATGCGCATATCAAAAGCAATGTTTACAGTATGGTTTCCAAGTCACGAATGCACACTCCACTTTCGTATGCACCTAAGCATCACCCAAGACTTCCCCGCACTGGTATAGAGCTCTATACAACCCTCAAAGTCACAATGAATCAAACAATACAACAATAGAATAATAAATGGATAAACAAAACAGTAGAACTGTACACTAGGCATTATTCGTCCCTGATCCAATTCCCCCCCCCCCCCCCTCACACACACACACATGTGTGCGTGCACACACACACACACACACACACACACACACACACACACACACACTCTCTCTCTCTCTCTCTCTCTAAATGGCCTTCAAGAAGTGGTTGGGTGACACGACATATTCTGCTGTCATTCACAGATGTTACACAGCTGCTACGGCAGGGACAAAAAAAAAATGGGCAGGGGTGGTGGTTAAGAAATTTACCGCTTATGTGAGCAAACAACCAAAACAAAAAAAGCCCTGCCTCCTGGCCTGGCAACGATTCAATCTACTTGTTAAAAGGACTGACACCTCCTGACCTGGACCAGACTCAGTTTACTTGGTAACTGTGTGTTTTGAAATTCGACAAATCTTCCTCCCCTATCATTGACTTTGTGTACAGTTCACGGGGAGGGGGGGGGGAGGGAGGGGCATGACACCAGCTGTTGATAGCACTGGTTTGGTTTACTCGAATACTGGTTCACAGTGTGTACATTATCAAAAGCTGGGCCTACAAGAAGCAGCTTCGTCTCTTGCCCCAGAATCCATGAAGAAGTCACTGGATGGTGTTACTAGTGACAATTTGATCACTTTTGACTGACATTTTCTAATTTCCTTATGTGGGCCTTACCAGTTTGTTTTCCTGACTCCTTTGCCGTGAAAACTTGTAGTTCTGGTTTTTGTTTTGCTCTTCTTTACAGTCTAATACATTTGCACATCTACTGGAAGCAACATTCACACAGCTACTGGAGGCTACATTTACATTCACGCTGCTACTGGAAGCTACATTCACATCCCTGGTGGAGGCTACATTCACACTGCTACTGGAAGCTACATTCACATCCCTGCCGGAGGCTACATTCACACTGCTACTGGAAGTTACATTCACACCCCAGCTGGACGCTACATTTACATCATCTCCGGAGGCTACATTCATATTGCTACTGAAGGCTATATTCACATCCCCTGCTGAAGACTAAATACAGATACATCCCTGCAGAAGGCTATATTCACTACTCCTCTAGAGGCTTCATTCACATTGTTGCTAGAGGCTACAATCACATCACTTCTACGCAGAAAGATCGAGATACTACGTAAATTAGATTTTAGTATGAGTTTTCCGGAACTTGTAACATAATACGGTCGGGTAAGTTTAAGTTTAGTTTTATTAAGAGTTTTCTGGCACTTGCAACACAATAAGGTATTATAAGTCCTGATGATTAGAGTTGTTACAAGAAGAACTAAACAGAAAGTTGTTCCAACATCCGATCAGGACATTGAGGATTGCCTTGTTAATTTTAGTTTTAGTTTTAGTAGAGGTTTTTCGGCGCTCGCAACTGCATAAGGTCATATGAGCACCAGAAGATTAGTAGAGCTGTTACAAGAGAGTAACAAACAAAAAAGAAGAAGGGGAGATAAGGCCGATACATGTTTGACAGGAAAGAAGAAGCAAACCACACCAGAGCACCCGCCAACCACCCACCGATCAGTTTAATGTTAGTTTGAGTTTAATGTTAATTGAGTAAAGAGAAGCAACATCAACACAGTAATACCAATTTAGAAATTAGTTCAGTAAAGAGAAGCAGATCGACACAATAATGAACGGTCACTAGTGCTGGGAAAAGGTAAGACGAACAGACAGAAACAACAGAGGAAAAGTAAAGAAATAGGACCAACCAGCGGTGCCCTCCCAACACCCACCAAAGAGCTATCTGATTCTGTCACGCCACTTCAATCGTTCAAGTGGCTTTGAGAGACATCTCAGAGCGTTTCTTTAGTAAGTAAAAAGCAAGGTGGATAGCAGAAACAAATGGAAAATAGAAAAGAACTATTAAGAGTTTCAAGCGTCACCCACCCTCCAACCACCCAATCACCTGCCTTTGTGGGTTCAACTACTAGAACACACTACTACACAAGGATACGGCCCTTGTACTTACAAAGTTACAGCACAACAAATCTAGAGCCAAAGAAAGATACAGGGAAACACACCCCACCACGGCCATCATTACCACGCTCTGCAATCGGTTGATACCACGGCACGACTTGCAACAGGGCCATTCCACGAGGACATTTGGAACAAACTTTCTTACAAGGCTACAAGGATAACACACGTAAACACTGTAATTCAATATCAATTTACTTTAAATGATCAGAACATTTGAAAGACATTTAGTCTTAGTAAGTGTTTTAAGTAACTTGCAACATAATAAGGTAATTTAAGTGCCAAAGATTAGAGGTGTTACAAGAGAGTAACAAACACAAAAAAGGACAGGAAAGAATAAGCAAACCACACCAGAGCACCCGCCAACCACCCACTTTGAAAGACATTAAGAATAATATAAAATGCAGTCATTTGAAAAAAAAAGTGCTTTATGCAAATTCTTTGACGTGTTTAGTTTCGGTAACTGATGGGGCAGAAAAAAAATACCTCATTTGAATGGTCAGTTACCGTGGAATAGCCCTATTGTATCGTCGTAGTATTACAACGAATCAGCGCCGATAACACAGTCATTTCACCGGGTGGAAGATTAGGATTTAGGACAATGGTGAGGCTGAAACGTATGTACGAGCAGATCACTGCACCAGCCATCAAAATCAAAATGCGAACTCCCCCCCCCCCTCTCTCTCTCTCTCTCTCTCTCTCACACACACACACACACACACACACACACACACACACACACACACACACACACACACACACACACACGCACAGCGCACGCACACCCCCCCACCCTTTTTTTAATACAGCGTATTTGGTTTAATAGCCTACATGCGTAAACAGAAAAACATGTATACAACACCGGACATAGCATTACATTTGTGTTTGTTTTAGTAAGAGCTTAAACAGCATTTTTAACATGATTACGATAATAAAAGTTCTTAAGATGAGAAGTGTTACTAGAGAGTAACATACCGGGCGGGTACACAAAAAAGGAGAAGAGATAATAATAAAGAGAACAGATTATGTTTGATAGGAAAGAAAGAGCAAACCACACTATCAGAGCACCCGCCAACCACCCACTCGAATTATTTTTTTTTACACGAGGAAAAAAAAATAATCAAGTACACATACAGAGCAACAAGAGGCAAAGGAAAGAAGTAGATCTACTGCCTACCGGTACCGGTGGCCCCCTTCAACCATCCCAAATGGAGAAGGAAAAAAAATCCAAGAATCACAAACGCAGACGGGTCGACTGAAGTCCTGGTGACAGGAAACCGTGATTTTACTTCCAAGACCCCGTCAAAACAACACCCACAGGAGAAAACAAATCTACACACCACACACCACAATATAGTGGGAGTAGACACGTCAATACAACGCGTCAACGACCCTGCCTCCCCGACCTCACACGTGTCATGACCTCTGGGAGGTCAAAGGTCAGCGACGGTCGCAACGATAAGATAAAAGAAGCTGCGCCGGTCGTGACAGGTTAAAATTTGCAGCACAAGTCCAGCCAGGTTGCCATGGCGACAAACATACACAGCTCACAATACTTATAAACGTAGCAGGAAACCCTTTAAATCTCCGTAGATACAATTTAGGAAACGGACTGTTCCGACTCAGGGCGAAACCAGACGGGAAGGCGTAAGTCTCGGGCGCAAAAATATATTAACACATACGCAATCGACTAATAATAATTATATAACACAGTGGCTTTTCTTCTTTTTCTCGAGAGTTGTTTGAGTAAGGAGAAGCACAACGACACAATAATTGTCATAATGCAGAGAAAAAGTAGGACAGACTGAATGAACGGAGGAAAAGTAAAAAAGTAGGACCTACCAATAGCGAGTAGCGCCTTCCAACCACCCGCATCAAACTTGCCCCATTGCAAAATATCCCCTGCACAAGTGAGTTTAACCTCAAAAGTGCCAGAGCGAGATTATAGGTGTTATTAGAGAAAAACATACAAAGAAAAAAAGGAGAAGAGATAAACACAGATGTTTGATGGGAAATAAGGCAAAGTAGACTGCTGCAACTTCGCACCCAATTCAGAAGGGCACAGACCAGGCATAAATAACCTGTACGACTCGCACGTTCCGTAAGCCACGTTCATCAGGATGGTTTCTACTCCGCAGTAAAAAGCTCATCTCGATTAGACGTCTTCCACAACTTACTTACAACCACGCCTCCACAACCCCACCCCTTTTCCCCGCCTCATTGTTCGACAGCGCAACTGACTGCAAATATTCAATTCGAACCTCAGTCTCAAACATGACCACTTCGAGTTGCAGCGTAAAAAAAATAAATCTCCTTCAACTCCTCTAGGTGGCACACGTAAACCCGACACCTAGCACACATGCTCAAACCCCCTGGGGCAGTGCCACCGACTGTAGTGTCTTTAGGCCATTCCCAAAGGGGGGATATTTCTCGTTCAAGTGCAGTAGAAAATGGGCTGATTCATGTCACGCTCATAACTGTGCCTGATCTACAACACGGAACTGCTGCTTTTTCTTTCCTAATCCTTACTATTGCCATTTTCCTCTACTTCTTTTGTATGTTTGTCACTCTCTTGTGACCTGCTATTTCCGGGTTGCCTTGATAGTTGAAGCAGACCTTGTGCTGTTGAAGCTAGAGAGGTGGGCAGAGTGGGTCTGATTCCCTGTAAAGACTTCTCTGTTGACACCCACCCCTTGGCGCTCATATTACCTTATGCAGTTGCGAGTGCCGTAAAACCCTCTACTATAATAAATAATAAACACATGCTCATCTATAACATTGCGAAACATTTCCACCTCCACTAGTTAAGTTTACAAAATAAACCACAAACATAACTTGTTATTTCCCACAAGCAGAGGTATAATCATGTGACATATATTATCTATCAGGATACATGTCGCAGATAAAGTAAGATAAAGCTACGTTTGAGACCTTAGGACCAAGCAGGTAACTTGTTATGTTGTATTTATGTTTAAGAGAGAAGCGTATGGACAGAGAAAACGAGTAATAAAAAAGAAAGAGAGGAAAAACAACTCGGACAGTAATAAACAGTAGCAGCTGTTGACCTGTAGTTTAACAATGACATCGTGATAAAGGCTACTTTTCGCCGAGAACGGATAGCGATATTAGAAATTCTGAAAAGTAGTAGAAGCAAACCATTTTCGTTTTGTTTTAGTAAGAGTTTTATGGCACTTGCAGCGCAATTCGCTTAAAAATGCCGAAGATTAGAGGTATTACAAGAGAGTAACAAAGACAAAAAAAGGAGGAGGGGAGATACTGATGACAGATGTTTGATAGGAAAGAAAGAGCAAACCACACCAGAGCACCTGCAAACCACCAACAAACAATTTCGAACACCTATCAACCATCTGCTCGGGTGCTAGAGAGCACAATGAAAATGAGGTTGACAATGAGAACAATACCGCATCTGTATCTCACTGACTTTTCAATGAAACATTGAGGGTTCGTTTGTTTTGTTTTTGTTTTGGTAAGGTTTTACGGCACTCGTAATTGCATAAGGTCATATTAGCGCCACGGGGTGGATGTCAAGAGAGAAGTCCACACGGGGAATCAGGATTACTCTGCTCACCTATCTAGTGTCAACAACACAAAGTCTGCTTCGACTATCAAGGCACCCCAGAAATAGTTCACAAGAGAGTGACAAACATATAAAAGAAGTAGAGGAATAATGACGATAGTAAGGATGAGGAAAGAAAAAGCAGCAGTTCCCCCTATGTTGTTCAGACACAGTATGAGCATGGCAGTGATAAATCTGCCCATTTACAATTCTACTGTGCATAAGAAAATGTTAATATCCCCCTTTGGGAATGGCCTAAAGCAAGACACTTCAGTCACTAGCACTGCCCTGGGGGTGGGGGCGAAATTGAGGGTTTTTAAATTTTAGTAGAGGTTTTACGGTGCTCGCAACTGCATAATAGGTCAAATGAGTGCCAGAAGATTAGACGTGTTACAAGAGAGTAACAAACATAAAAAAGAGGAGATAAGGGCGATAGATGTTTGATAGGAAAGAAGAAGCAAACCACACCAGAGCACCCTCCAACCACTCACAATTGAGGGTTAGACTTCACAAGTTATGCTAGGAAGACACTGTCCCCACAAGAAACACTTCTAGTTTTATTGTCCCAGACTAACAAAAATATATTCCTGACAATCATGCACTCAGCAGAGAAGGAATCACAGTTAGTTTCAGTAGAGGTTTTACGGCGCTTGCAGCTGCATAAGGTCATATGAATGCCAGAAGATTAGACGTGTTACAAGAGAGTAACAAACATAAAAAAAGAAGAAGGGGAGATAAGGACGATAGACGTTTGATAGGAAAGAAGAAGCAAACCACACCAGAGCACCCGCCAACCACCCACAAGGAATCACATAAGACAATGCTTTTCTACAACCGCATAGATGAGTAATCAACAAGCATGGTTTCACCGTGATAAAGAAATACTATTCTGTTCCCTGCATGTGACACAGCATTCAAGCAATTACTTCAAAACTCACCAGTTGAGCTCAACGACTACAATATCAACCAAAGCAAAGTTTTGAAAAGAAAACAAATAATAGTGATATCACAAATCCCACAACATCAATAACAACATCTTGGTGATCCTCGAGAAAATTACCAACATCTCTTAGACACAACAAAGGACAAAGAAAAAAACAAAAACAAAAACAAAGAAAAAAACAAAAACAAAAACAAAAAAAAAAACCCCAGAAAAAAACAACAACAAAATCAGAACATTTTTGGGTTTCGTGGCAAGACTAAACTAAAACTAGGCGGTAAATCTAGAACCCATTCCACCAGTAGACAAAAGAGTAAGAACTAGCACCATGAAATTACGGCAAATAATTAAACATACCAAAGATCTGGATGAGTACAAGGCACACCCTCTACTCAAAATACAACACAACGTTCCCTATACAGATCTGTACAACTCTCAACCACAATTTGGAATAAGGGCTCTACATTTTGCAGAGCGTAAAAAGAGGGCAAGAATTTTCCTTCACCAGTACAAAAAGAGATTGTGAATACAGTAAGGGGGTACTATAAAGAAGGCTAGCACATAGGCAGTGACTTTTTAAAAAATACAGGGAGGGGCATGACTAGAAAAAAAAAACCAAGATAAAAACAACAACCCCAAAGCAACCTCAATTTTTCCCAATGGGAGAGTGTGCAACATCACTAACCTCTTTGTCATTGAATTCTGACAAAAACAAACATTCCTCACTTTTTTTTCCCCTTTTCAGTTTGGATTTCTGAAAACTTTGGAGAATGCCCATCCCTGAACTAAAAGTTAAAAAAAAAAAAAAAACACAACTAAAAAGGCCTGGAGTGATCAGCTACAGAGAGAATCTCACCTGCTCCTGCACATGGCAATGGGGGAAACAAATACACAGATCAAACAAGAGAAATAGAAAGAGAGACAGTGGGAAGTAAGTACTCTTTTGACACGAAAAGTCCACATCCATGTGCAGAAAATGTATTTCATGCAAGTAAATCTGGAACCTCCCACGAATATCCTCTATTGAAAGCTCACTAAAAACCATCTAAATCATGTAAAATGAACAAATGTACTCTTTCTAATTCTGAAAATAATTTTAAACTTTCAAAAAAATCAGTCTTCCACCAAATGATGAACAGGAAATTGCCAGGAGACAAAAAATATTAATAATCAATTTCCAAAAGAACATGCAAAAGTCACACTGATAACCTAATCTACATCTAAAAATTAATGATGATAAAAAAATCTTTAAAATTCAGCAGAGCATAGCAGGAAAAGCCAAACTTAAGCATAACTCATTCTGAGGTCATAAGTAAATACAAATAAATTTCAAATAAAAGCACATACGTTTAAAAAAGGAGAAAAAAAAATTAAGCACTCCTTTCGATTCCAATCCAATAAAATTGTTCTTACAGCCTTCACATTCACCTGGCCACAGGTTAAAGTACCTCAACACTAACTGTAAGACTTACTTAGTTCAGAAAATTCAACTGACCTGCATAACAGCATTAATTTCAGATTTGAGTTGCATTTTAATTTTAAATATTTACTTTTAAAAGCCTGATCAACTGATGAAAACGCTCCCCAAAAAAACAATCCCCAAATATGTTTTCAAACTACAGTGAGTGCACCTTGCTAAGCAAAGGCAATTGATCATGGTATGAAGAACCCCGTAACATTCACCACTGACCTATAGTGCACGCTACACAAATACTGCATCAACAAGAGCAGGCAAGAATAGTCGTATGAATTGGTCTACACAAAAGGACTAGTTTATTAGTGGTGGAGTTGGAGAGTTTGCTGCATTATCGTAGAGTCCTGAACACAACCCTGACCCAGTGTCAATCAAGAAGAAACATTTTAAACGCCAATTTTCAACAGAAAATGCTCAGTAGCAGAACACACAAGTCACAGCATGCTCCCATGCACCCAAGCCGACTCATTCTACCACACTGCAATAGTGCTGGGCATGTGGTAAGCACGAGTGCGAGCATGATTGTGAGTGTGAGTGTACGTGTGTGTGTGTGTGTGTGTGTGTGTGTGTGTGTGTGTCTGCATGTGTGTGGTGTGTGTGCTTGTGAATGAGTGAGTATATGTCTAGGTGTGTGCCTGCACTCTTCATCACTGACCTTCTCAAGCTGCTGACCAGACTGTGAGGTGGTGGACAGACTCCGCTCCAGATCTGATACTCTCTGGCGCGATGCTTTTAACCGACCACTGAGCTCCTCAATTTCCTCTGCAACAAAAGTAAACATAAAAATCCCAGCAAAGTTTAAAAAAAAAAAAAAGAAAGAAAATTATTATAACGATCATCATTTTACTTGTATTAGATTTGTCTTTTAAATAAAGATAAAAATCTGAGCAATTTGATAGTACAATATGAGCAAAACATCCCTTTCAAAACTGCAGCAATATGTGAGACACACAACCTCAGATTCAATGTCCACTTCCAAAAGGATTAAACCAAGTGAGTGAAAAGCCATGAAAATTCCCTATACACAACCCAAGGGCTACTTAATAAAATTCCAAGAAAAAGAAGTATGATATGACAAGTCTAACATCCCTTTCAACACAATTAGTCTATTAAAAGTATCACTTCCAATTTAACACCCATCTCCAAAAAAACTGAGCCAAGTGTGTGGAGAACTATGATAACTCCTCCAAGAGCAACATTGCAAGAATGCCCTAGTGGTGAAACAAACTAGGGTCATCCGCAACACTGTCCTGCATGTTACCAACTGAGCTACTGGCACAACCAACAAGATTCGCATACCAACTTGTACAACAAAGTACCAAATATCATTCATAAAGACACAAATTCACTCAATTCAATCTACCCCCTACCCACATTTTCCCTCACCTGTCCATCTGCTAAACACACGTTCATTCATCTCAGTTACTGATTTACCAACACGTTGACTCACTTAGGTCCACCCTCCTCCTACATATTCACTCACTTTGTCCCCTATCATCACTCACCGAGATCCATGCCCCCC